TGTGTAGAGCATCCCAAAGAGAACTATATTAAAAATTGTCGTTGGAAATTTGGTTTAATGAGGATTAGAATAAGAAGGAAAGTGTAAAATTTCCCCGTACAGTGCATACAACAACGACGATGACGAAAATGTTCGTCTGAAACTCCAACCGCTATCAGATGTACTCAAAGCAGTAATCGTGGTCGAGAGTCTTTTGCGTTGGTATCGAAAGTACTCACATTTAATAACAACGAAACCGAAAATCAAGCTGTCGTAAACAGCATTATTTCAAACGCTGAATTAGAACATAGGATTTTCTATCTGTAAAGTAAATAATCTGGTTATAAAACCCTCTCACACGAGCTTCATCAAACCAGTTGTAGAAGGAATGGAACGTACCTCCTGATTGACTAGGCCGTAAGTATATTTTCTATCGCAGAGCAGACAAAGGGTTGGGGAGTTATGACTCATACCCTTTCACTACTCATCTAACATTTTTAGCAGTTCCAATGATGACATGTAGTGGAGTACTGAGAGATCGATGGACATTTACAGATATATAATTTAACCAAAGGAACCATGTGCTTAGTCGCCAATCCGAAAAAGTTCAGCATTTTTTAATCGAAATTCACAATCTAGCTGAACAATCACCAAAATGTACTACATTTACGTTCAAATGATGACATGAACAACATGTTGATCCTCTTATTCCTCTTGAGACATGGATTACTGACTGAGGATCTCCAGGCAACTGTGTGCTTGGCTCTCCCTTCCAATGCCTTCCGAAGAGTATTACATTTCGTACATGATTTTTCCACAACTCACGAATTTTATGTGTGATTTCGTCAGCTCTATAGAGACTTTTTGATACACTGCGGTGTCAACATAACTCAGCTTCGTCACCAAACAAATTGAACAGTGTGTGGACTTGTTAGCACCTTCAAACTCACTTAGTGAGTGCTCTGAGTCTCACTAGCTTTTTAATTCCAAACAGAACTATCTTGTATAAACATGTCGACTCGGTCTAACTAGCCATGCTGAACAATAAAAACGAAAGAAGCAAAATTAACAGCTTAAAACCTAAGCGCTCAGCAAATATAACGCTTTGAAAAGTAGTAACGAACCACCAACTGCACGTGAAAAAAACCTGAAGCTGATTAATATCGGAAGTCCACTGTCCATTAGAAAACAGGTGACCAGTCTCGTCTAATTTCCAGAAATGTGATTGTAATCTTTCCTCAAACCTTAAAACTCTATCACAGTTACCTAAAAAAAATCCTAATCACCTAAACATCTGCTTGACATATAATCCGATACAGTTGCTTAAGTAGTGGTATCAGATTACGAGTTATGAACAGAAAAAAATCAACTTATCAATACATATGTGATAGCTAGACAAGATCAATACACAAGAGAAGACTAAATTTTTCTAATAAGCGGTGTTTTATCTCTGATTGCGGCTCACAACATTGTTTGTTCGCGTCAAACCTGTAGGTTCTTTGTCCAAAATAGTGCCTTCAATTCGAAATGGCGCGCATCGTTGAAGTATGGTAGAGGAATAACAAAGTCATAAAACATTGGATTTTAATATGTCCTTCAGTCGTGCAATGCGTCTTAGCTGCTGTGTCGCTAGCATAACTGTATTCGGAACCAAGGTGGCGTGGTCCTCTGATTGGAGTACAGGTCAGAAGTCATCCTTTTTCGATCAATTTAAAAGCTCATTAACCAGCTTAGATAAAAAGTTCCCACTAATATTGAGTGCTCATGCTACTTGTAATGAAAATGTCACTATAAAGCCATGGAATTGGAACTGGGATGGAAAAAGCACGTCTGACTGTAAGACAGACTCGGCTTCGCAAAGCGAAACAGTGACATCGAAGTCAAAATGCACACGGCACCTTTTATTTATTCGTCATGGCCAGTATCATTACGCCAAAGACGACTCCGACTGCCACTTGACAGGACTCGGGCGCCAGCAATTGGACTGTACTGGGATGCGTTTGCGAGAACTCAATTTCCCATATAGAAAAGTGTACTACTCCACGATGACGCGCGCTGTCGAATCGGCTGAGTTGGTTTTAAATCATCTACCTAACGTTCAGGCAGAACCGTCAGATGTCTTACGTGAAGGTGCTCCATACGTCCTGGAGCCACCTCTCGCATATTACCAACCTACGCAAAAAGATATTGAAGAAGATGGCTCCCGCATTGAATCTGCATTCCAAAAACATATACATCGTGCAGATGCTGAACAAGAAGCCGACACGTACGAGGTGTTTGTGTGTCATGCAAATGTTATTCGCTATTTTGTTTGTAGAGCTCTGCAGTTTCCACCTGAGGCTTGGATAAGATTTTCGCTTGACCACGGCAGTATTACATGGCTTGTCATTCGGCCTGACGGGCGCGTTACATTGAGATGGTTAGGAAACTCAGGACATATGCCTCCTGAACTCATTACCGTACAGTAGTTGTGGGTAACATTTGTTCCGGTGTACAGTGTACATTACGTAAATTTAACGCACTTTGCTTTGTAACTCTTGTAATATTAGATACTTTTTCAGATGACTAACGCATCATTCTTACTACTGTTTTATCAATCATGCACCTTTAGTACGCAATTGTATGGGCTTTTACATGGTGTTTGCTATGATGAGCGTATGCAACACAATAATCCAGACTGGTTTGTCAGCGTTCTGAACTTATTTTATCTTAGTGTTTAACCCAAAGATTGTACAATTAGCCCCACAACAAGGGTGTTCCCACGCATTTGGCTTCGAGCCAGTAAAATTAGCTAGGTTGTTATCAGATGGGGGAGTTCCATCGGAAAACCTGGGCGTTGATCGATTTCCGTTTATGCTAACATTTGCACTTATAGGAAATTACTAGTCTGCACATCCTGGACTCACTATTCTACTTCCAAATAAACAGTCGTTCTAAAAATGGTAATCGATGTTATTTTACACACCAGTAGAATCAAATGTCACAGGCTGTCGTGATGTTGGTGAGGTTGTAGTGGTTTGTAAGTGGGGCTTTCATAAGAAGACCTGGTTTTAATAGTAACTTTGAAGGCTGGGGAATCACTAGCGCAAACGATCACTACTTGTGAAGTCCAGAATGGAACTGTCATACAGCGTTTTGAGTTTCCTGGAGCAAAGTCGATTTCTAAAAACATAGAATGCAAATATGGTTAGAATTCTTAGAGCATATTCCACTGGGACCCATTTCCGTGCAGTCATTTTGTTTATCTTGCAACAGTGCTCAGTGTATATTACATGTATTTAAGTCTCTTGCGTAATAGCTTTATTCATACACTTCCTAGTATTCTGTTCGCTATTGAAACATTTGTAATTAGGATCGTAAATAAAGTTAGTTGCAATTAGTATCTCACAGAAGATACTTGTACATAGTTCACAGATGAATTGGAGTAATCTAGTCAAGAACCATTTTTTCATCGTCGTTACTCAAAAGTTTTTGGCAGAATCCACAATTACTCATAGAACAAGAATGTACGAGTGGGCATTGCAGTCTTTCTATACATAACAAGCAAACCGAATATATAGTACTGAAATCGTAAACGAAACGATTTCTTATTCTCACTTAGTGTGTAGAGCATCCCAAAGAGAACTATATTAAAAATTGTCGTTGGAAATTTGGTTTAATGAGGATTAGAATAAGAAGGAAAGTGTAAAATTTCCCCGTACAGTGCATACAACAACGACGATGACGAAAATGTTCGTCTGAAACTCCAACCGCTATCAGATGTACTCAAAGCAGTAATCGTGGTCGAGAGTCTTTTGCGTTGGTATCGAAAGTACTCACATTTAATAACAACGAAACCGAAAATCAAGCTGTCGTAAACAGCATTATTTCAAACGCTGAATTAGAACATAGGATTTTCTATCTGTAAAGTAAATAATCTGGTTATAAAACCCTCTCACACGAGCTTCATCAAACCAGTTGTAGAAGGAATGGAACGTACCTCCTGATTGACTAGGCCGTAAGTATATTTTCTATCGCAGAGCAGACAAAGGGTTGGGGAGTTATGACTCATACCCTTTCACTACTCATCTAACATTTTTAGCAGTTCCAATGATGACATGTAGTGGAGTACTGAGAGATCGATGGACATTTACAGATATATAATTTAACCAAAGGAACCATGTGCTTAGTCGCCAATCCGAAAAAGTTCAGCATTTTTTAATCGAAATTCACAATCTAGCTGAACAATCACCAAAATGTACTACATTTACGTTCAAATGATGACATGAACAACATGTTGATCCTCTTATTCCTCTTGAGACATGGATTACTGACTGAGGATCTCCAGGCAACTGTGTGCTTGGCTCTCCCTTCCAATGCCTTCCGAAGAGTATTACATTTCGTACATGATTTTTCCACAACTCACGAATTTTATGTGTGATTTCGTCAGCTCTATAGAGACTTTTTGATACACTGCGGTGTCAACATAACTCAGCTTCGTCACCAAACAAATTGAACAGTGTGTGGACTTGTTAGCACCTTCAAACTCACTTAGTGAGTGCTCTGAGTCTCACTAGCTTTTTAATTCCAAACAGAACTATCTTGTATAAACATGTCGACTCGGTCTAACTAGCCATGCTGAACAATAAAAACGAAAGAAGCAAAATTAACAGCTTAAAACCTAAGCGCTCAGCAAATATAACGCTTTGAAAAGTAGTAACGAACCACCAACTGCACGTGAAAAAAACCTGAAGCTGATTAATATCGGAAGTCCACTGTCCATTAGAAAACAGGTGACCAGTCTCGTCTAATTTCCAGAAATGTGATTGTAATCTTTCCTCAAACCTTAAAACTCTATCACAGTTACCTAAAAAAAATCCTAATCACCTAAACATCTGCTTGACATATAATCCGATACAGTTGCTTAAGTAGTGGTATCAGATTACGAGTTATGAACAGAAAAAAATCAACTTATCAATACATATGTGATAGCTAGACAAGATCAATACACAAGAGAAGACTAAATTTTTCTAATAAGCGGTGTTTTATCTCTGATTGCGGCTCACAACATTGTTTGTTCGCGTCAAACCTGTAGGTTCTTTGTCCAAAATAGTGCCTTCAATTCGAAATGGCGCGCATCGTTGAAGTATGGTAGAGGAATAACAAAGTCATAAAACATTGGATTTTAATATGTCCTTCAGTCGTGCAATGCGTCTTAGCTGCTGTGTCGCTAGCATAACTGTATTCGGAACCAAGGTGGCGTGGTCCTCTGATTGGAGTACAGGTCAGAAGTCATCCTTTTTCGATCAATTTAAAAGCTCATTAACCAGCTTAGATAAAAAGTTCCCACTAATATTGAGTGCTCATGCTACTTGTAATGAAAATGTCACTATAAAGCCATGGAATTGGAACTGGGATGGAAAAAGCACGTCTGACTGTAAGACAGACTCGGCTTCGCAAAGCGAAACAGTGACATCGAAGTCAAAATGCACACGGCACCTTTTATTTATTCGTCATGGCCAGTATCATTACGCCAAAGACGACTCCGACTGCCACTTGACAGGACTCGGGCGCCAGCAATTGGACTGTACTGGGATGCGTTTGCGAGAACTCAATTTCCCATATAGAAAAGTGTACTACTCCACGATGACGCGCGCTGTCGAATCGGCTGAGTTGGTTTTAAATCATCTACCTAACGTTCAGGCAGAACCGTCAGATGTCTTACGTGAAGGTGCTCCATACGTCCTGGAGCCACCTCTCGCATATTACCAACCTACGCAAAAAGATATTGAAGAAGATGGCTCCCGCATTGAATCTGCATTCCAAAAACATATACATCGTGCAGATGCTGAACAAGAAGCCGACACGTACGAGGTGTTTGTGTGTCATGCAAATGTTATTCGCTATTTTGTTTGTAGAGCTCTGCAGTTTCCACCTGAGGCTTGGATAAGATTTTCGCTTGACCACGGCAGTATTACATGGCTTGTCATTCGGCCTGACGGGCGCGTTACATTGAGATGGTTAGGAAACTCAGGACATATGCCTCCTGAACTCATTACCGTACAGTAGTTGTGGGTAACATTTGTTCCGGTGTACAGTGTACATTACGTAAATTTAACGCACTTTGCTTTGTAACTCTTGTAATATTAGATACTTTTTCAGATGACTAACGCATCATTCTTACTACTGTTTTATCAATCATGCACCTTTAGTACGCAATTGTATGGGCTTTTACATGGTGTTTGCTATGATGAGCGTATGCAACACAATAATCCAGACTGGTTTGTCAGCGTTCTGAACTTATTTTATCTTAGTGTTTAACCCAAAGATTGTACAATTAGCCCCACAACAAGGGTGTTCCCACGCATTTGGCTTCGAGCCAGTAAAATTAGCTAGGTTGTTATCAGATGGGGGAGTTCCATCGGAAAACCTGGGCGTTGATCGATTTCCGTTTATGCTAACATTTGCACTTATAGGAAATTACTAGTCTGCACATCCTGGACTCACTATTCTACTTCCAAATAAACAGTCGTTCTAAAAATGGTAATCGATGTTATTTTACACACCAGTAGAATCAAATGTCACAGGCTGTCGTGATGTTGGTGAGGTTGTAGTGGTTTGTAAGTGGGGCTTTCATAAGAAGACCTGGTTTTAATAGTAACTTTGAAGGCTGGGGAATCACTAGCGCAAACGATCACTACTTGTGAAGTCCAGAATGGAACTGTCATACAGCGTTTTGAGTTTCCTGGAGCAAAGTCGATTTCTAAAAACATAGAATGCAAATATGGTTAGAATTCTTAGAACATATTCCACTGGGACCCATTTCCGTGCAGTCATTTTGTTTATCTTACAACAGTGCTCAGTGTATATTACATGTATTTAAGTCTCTTGCGTAATAGCTTTATTCATACACTTCCTAGTATTCTGTTCGCTATTGAAACATTTGTAATTAGGATCGTAAATAAAGTTAGTTGCAATTAGTATCTCACAGAAGATACTTGTACATAGTTCACAGATGAATTGGAGTAATCTAGTCAAGAACCATTTTTTCATCGTCGTTACTCAAAAGTTTTTGGCAGAATCCACAATTACTCATAGAACAAGAATGTACGAGTGGGCATTGCAGTCTTTCTATACATAACAAGCAAACCGAATATATAGTACTGAAATCGTAAACGAAACGATTTCTTATTCTCACTTAGTGTGTAGAGCATCCCAAAGAGAACTATATTAAAAATTGTCGTTGGAAATTTGGTTTAATGAGGATTAGAATAAGAAGGAAAGTGTAAAATTTCCCCGTACAGTGCATACAACAACGACGATGACGAAAATGTTCGTCTGAAACTCCAACCGCTATCAGATGTACTCAAAGCAGTAATCGTGGTCGAGAGTCTTTTGCGTTGGTATCGAAAGTACTCACATTTAATAACAACGAAACCGAAAATCAAGCTGTCGTAAACAGCATTATTTCAAACGCTGAATTAGAACATAGGATTTTCTATCTGTAAAGTAAATAATCTGGTTATAAAACCCTCTCACACGAGCTTCATCAAACCAGTTGTAGAAGGAATGGAACGTACCTCCTGATTGACTAGGCCGTAAGTATATTTTCTATCGCAGAGCAGACAAAGGGTTGGGGAGTTATGACTCATACCCTTTCACTACTCATCTAACATTTTTAGCAGTTCCAATGATGACATGTAGTGGAGTACTGAGAGATCGATGGACATTTACAGATATATAATTTAACCAAAGGAACCATGTGCTTAGTCGCCAATCCGAAAAAGTTCAGCATTTTTTAATCGAAATTCACAATCTAGCTGAACAATCACCAAAATGTACTACATTTACGTTCAAATGATGACATGAACAACATGTTGATCCTCTTATTCCTCTTGAGACATGGATTACTGACTGAGGATCTCCAGGCAACTGTGTGCTTGGCTCTCCCTTCCAATGCCTTCCGAAGAGTATTACATTTCGTACATGATTTTTCCACAACTCACGAATTTTATGTGTGATTTCGTCAGCTCTATAGAGACTTTTTGATACACTGCGGTGTCAACATAACTCAGCTTCGTCACCAAACAAATTGAACAGTGTGTGGACTTGTTAGCACCTTCAAACTCACTTAGTGAGTGCTCTGAGTCTCACTAGCTTTTTAATTCCAAACAGAACTATCTTGTATAAACATGTCGACTCGGTCTAACTAGCCATGCTGAACAATAAAAACGAAAGAAGCAAAATTAACAGCTTAAAACCTAAGCGCTCAGCAAATATAACGCTTTGAAAAGTAGTAACGAACCACCAACTGCACGTGAAAAAAACCTGAAGCTGATTAATATCGGAAGTCCACTGTCCATTAGAAAACAGGTGACCAGTCTCGTCTAATTTCCAGAAATGTGATTGTAATCTTTCCTCAAACCTTAAAACTCTATCACAGTTACCTAAAAAAAATCCTAATCACCTAAACATCTGCTTGACATATAATCCGATACAGTTGCTTAAGTAGTGGTATCAGATTACGAGTTATGAACAGAAAAAAATCAACTTATCAATACATATGTGATAGCTAGACAAGATCAATACACAAGAGAAGACTAAATTTTTCTAATAAGCGGTGTTTTATCTCTGATTGCGGCTCACAACATTGTTTGTTCGCGTCAAACCTGTAGGTTCTTTGTCCAAAATAGTGCCTTCAATTCGAAATGGCGCGCATCGTTGAAGTATGGTAGAGGAATAACAAAGTCATAAAACATTGGATTTTAATATGTCCTTCAATCGTGCAATGCGTCTTAGCTGCTGTGTCGCTAGCATAACTGTATTCGGAACCAAGGTGGCGTGGTCCTCTGATTGGAGTACAGGTCAGAAGTCATCCTTTTTCGATCAATTTAAAAGCTCATTAACCAGCTTAGATAAAAAGTTCCCACTAATATTGAGTGCTCATGCTACTTGTAATGAAAATGTCACTATAAAGCCATGGAATTGGAACTGGGATGGAAAAAGCACGTCTGACTGTAAGACAGACTCGGCTTCGCAAAGCGAAACAGTGACATCGAAGTCAAAATGCACACGGCACCTTTTATTTATTCGTCATGGCCAGTATCATTACGCCAAAGACGACTCCGACTGCCACTTGACAGGACTCGGGCGCCAGCAATTGGACTGTACTGGGATGCGTTTGCGAGAACTCAATTTCCCATATAGAAAAGTGTACTACTCCACGATGACGCGCGCTGTCGAATCGGCTGAGTTGGTTTTAAATCATCTACCTAACGTTCAGGCAGAACCGTCAGATGTCTTACGTGAAGGTGCTCCATACGTCCTGGAGCCACCTCTCGCATATTACCAACCTACGCAAAAAGATATTGAAGAAGATGGCTCCCGCATTGAATCTGCATTCCAAAAACATATACATCGTGCAGATGCTGAACAAGAAGCCGACACGTACGAGGTGTTTGTGTGTCATGCAAATGTTATTCGCTATTTTGTTTGTAGAGCTCTGCAGTTTCCACCTGAGGCTTGGATAAGATTTTCGCTTGACCACGGCAGTATTACATGGCTTGTCATTCGGCCTGACGGGCGCGTTACATTGAGATGGTTAGGAAACTCAGGACATATGCCTCCTGAACTCATTACCGTACAGTAGTTGTGGGTAACATTTGTTCCGGTGTACAGTGTACATTACGTAAATTTAACGCACTTTGCTTTGTAACTCTTGTAATATTAGATACTTTTTCAGATGACTAACGCATCATTCTTACTACTGTTTTATCAATCATGCACCTTTAGTACGCAATTGTATGGGCTTTTACATGGTGTTTGCTATGATGAGCGTATGCAACACAATAATCCAGACTGGTTTGTCAGCGTTCTGAACTTATTTTATCTTAGTGTTTAACCCAAAGATTGTACAATTAGCCCCACAACAAGGGTGTTCCCACGCATTTGGCTTCGAGCCAGTAAAATTAGCTAGGTTGTTATCAGATGGGGGAGTTCCATCGGAAAACCTGGGCGTTGATCGATTTCCGTTTATGCTAACATTTGCACTTATAGGAAATTACTAGTCTGCACATCCTGGACTCACTATTCTACTTCCAAATAAACAGTCGTTCTAAAAATGGTAATCGATGTTATTTTACACACCAGTAGAATCAAATGTCACAGGCTGTCGTTATAGCTTTATTCATACACTTCCTAGTATTCTGTTCGCTCTTTAGACATTTGTAATTATGATCGCACATATAAAGTGGTACTGTCCTATTCGTTAGTTGAATAAATATCTTGAGTATTTTCAAAATATAGAGATTTTGTTTCTTGACACGATGCGACAATGCATTTGGGTTATAAATATACTCTACCATGTGTGTTCGTGCCAAAATCCACTTAGCTGCTGTGTCGCTAGCATAACTGTATTCGGAACCAGCTTAGCTTATCGTAATGTTTCCCTCGGTAACTGAAACCTACTGACATTGGTGCCTAATGTCAGCGACTTTCCAGATGTCTTGACCAGATCATCGCAGTCACACGGTACAAAATGCAGATAAGTGTTTCTTTAGGTAATTAACGTTATGATATGATATAGGCACCCGGTGACGCAGTAATCAACAGTACGTCGCGAATAGGCTGACGTCTATATGGTCGACTATCTCCGTCGGTTCGTTGTGAGAACGAAGCATCGCTGAAGATGCTCGTGGTCTGAGGGGAATGCCTTACTCCTGTCACACCTCTTAAAGGTCGGGCTTAATCATTAGAGTTAAAATCCATTCAGCTAAAGTTGTCGGAAAGCCTACTTTGTATCTGCTCATATGAGTCTTGTTATTGATTACAGGAACAATAAGAGGTGGTAATGACACCCTCCAAGCTCCGAATTACAAGTCTACTGTCAGGGTTTTAGTTGCAGATTAAATTTAATATGTCGATTATACCGTTGTTAGGATATTTAGATATATATGTTTATAATTTTCATCATGGCCTTAATGATAATTATAAATAGTTACGATACATTTCATGTTAGCTGCTATTAAAGCACTTGCAAACTTCCAATTAACGTTCTGTAAATAGATCTACTAGATGTGATAGATATACTGCCAAGTAGATATTCCAAGATCTGGAGCATATCTTTATTTCGTGATTTACTTCAACTGAATTTCAATGTTTCACAAAATCGCAGTCGAAAAACAAAGTCGTTGCGTCCGCAGAAAATATAGGGAAAATGAAGTCAAATAAGAACGTACTTTTTGTACTTCCTCCACTTATCGATTCAGTTAGCGCTAACTACTCGAAAACTTGTTTTTGCACTTTTCGCCAGTTCAGCACACAACCTCATATCATGAAGCAGCTGCTGTTTTAATTAATTTTTAACTTGTTTCAGCTGGTTGTCCACATGTAGACAATAAACCACTTTCCATTTCATCGAGTTGACTTCACAAAGTTTCTGAATGATGTTTCAGGTCGAAATAAATATGTCTGGTTGATTTAGACTAAGCCTTAGGGTCATTGATATTCTCAGAATCTCAATAACGTCCAGATCCTAGTCCCGCAATTCGTAACACCAACTTACAAACCTATTTTTCCTTTAGCTCATAAGGCGTCCCTCTCAATCGACCGTAGCTACTACCTTATCGTGGTGGCTGTGCTTGCCTATCGTGGTTCCCCAACCGAGCTATATTAGCTAGAACATATATTACTGCAGGTTCTACCATGCCAGACAGGCCGACTGAAGAACGATGAGACTAAAAGCAGCTACTCAAAGTCTGAGGGCGGAGTTGTACTGCTGACTGCAGAAGGGCATGGCAGCAGTAAGGTGTTTCCCTCGGACAGCCAGCATCTACGGCGATGCTGCCTTCTCACAAGGAAGGAAGTGGCTAGAATTGGTCGACCCCCACAATGTCACAGCTTATTTTACGGACTTCCTTCTCTAGAGATAAGGCTTTTTAAAAAGAACGGAGCTAACTCTTTAAATACTACGCATAAAAACGCCGTGCGTGACCGGCCTCAAGCAGTTGTCCCTTGAGCTCTGCAGTCACGCTCCCGTTTCGGTAAGACCAACACTAATCTACCTTCCTTTACACGTTCCTCAAGAAACACGCTTCCCGCGTTTGGGCAGCCGGGAAGTGACAACCGCCCTCAAACCCGTACCGGCATACGAGATCGAATCAGTCACAATCAAATCCTACCTACACCCCTTGACATCCCTCTTATCTCAAAGACTGATCATCCTCATATTTATTTTATCACCCCGCACCGCTAATGCAGACACTCGAGTGCACGGAACGTTATTCCTGGTCTCCTGAAACCCTGCTATAGACTACATTTTAGACCTAGTGTTCGAACCGTGAGTCAAATAGGGCAACAGGCTTACTTATAAAATATTTTTTCAAGGTATTCAAAAGTCAGAATTAGAGCAAGCATTTAGATTACGATAAGTTAATTAACTCAACCGTACTCTAAGGATTTCTTGCCAACCTCTTGTATTTCCACAATGTTTTCTGTATCTAACGATCGACTAACCTCAAGTTCGGTCGATAAAATCTGATGCTCGCCAAAATATTCAAAAACTTAACCAAATTTCAACGGAAAAGCTTTTGACCTATAAATTTCTGCGAATCTGTGCCATTTGGAGCTCGTCAGCAGGGTGTATTTCTTTTCACAATCAGACTTTATAATAGGTTTGATTTCATGTCACTCAGCTTTACAGTCAGAGACGGTAACACTGAGCTGTTTGAGCGGCGACTAAACTGTAGGACGGAGATGTATTAACAGTTGGACTGCCAACTAAAAAATGACCTCAGTGATGGTCGAAGTCTATTAACCAAGCTGCAATGTGGCTACTAATCTAATGGCTTTCAACCTTACGTCTCAGCACAGAGAATGTGATGTAGGGTAGTTTGGACTAGCAGCCATATCACAATTTAGTCGAAAGAATTCGATTAGCAGCAGGGACTGGAAATACACAAAGTTAGCCACTATTCAGATATCAGTCAAGCGTAAAGACAAACTGCTAAAAAAATAACAATATTAATGTTTGTCAAGATATAGAAAAGCTCAAAAGAAGACTGCCACTCATTCTGAAGCACATGTTAAGATTCAGATCATGCTGTAGTACGAGCAATTATTTCTTAGCGGCTTACCGGACGTAGGCTGGTTTTTGACCTGGACGTGGCTGTATAGACCACGACCTCAATCTACGTCAGGTCGCGGAACACAGGCACTAATTTAATCGTCCTACAATACTTGTATTCCTGGACCTTACGGCGGCATTCAGCTCTGTGGATCGTGAGGTTCTATGACAGCGTCTGTCATTAAAAGGTGTACCATAGAAGTACATTAACTTTATACAGGCTCTGTATTCGGACACAACTGGTCGGGTGAAAGCTTACGGCGAACTGTCATCGGAATTCATTACATGAAGTAGTATCCGTCAGAGATGTCCACTCTCTCCATTCTTGTTTATTTTGTCATGGAGATGGCTCTAGATATAACATTGTTCTCGTCCAACTTTTCACAGGAGGATCTCCTACCAAGAGACACGCTTGTCGACTTGGAATATGCCGACGACATAGTTCTACTTGATGAGGACGGTGACAAAATGCAGTGTCTTCTCACTACCTTAAGTAATAATGCAAGCATATTCCGGATGCATCATTCTCCCTCGAAATACAAAATGTTGCTTCACTATTAGGTTGCATCGGCACCTCAACTAGTGATAGGGAGTGAAGTAGTTGAGCATGTTGACCGCTTCACTTATCTGGGGAGTCTTACAGCGCTGATGGCCTCGTATGTCACGAAATCTCAGCACGGATAAAGAAAGCTCGGTTGGCTTTTTCCAAGTTGCGTCACTTATAGCGTAGGTGAGATATCTGTCTACCAACCAGAGTACGGGTTTACTGCGCAGCAGTTAGCTCCATCCTACTATATGGCTGTGAAACATGGCCAGTCAGAGTAGAAGCTGTTTGTAGGTTACTTGTTTTCGATCATAGGTGCCTTAGAAGCATTGCTCGTGTATCCAGGTATGACTGAGTAAGCTATGCTGTTGTTAGAACACGAGTACTAGGTAGGAATAGCAGATCAATAGATGAAGCATTAGAACTTCAGTTGAGGTGGTTGGGACATGTGTTACGTATGCCTAAACTCCGACTGCCTCGACGAGCTATGTTTTGTGGTGTAGGAGTAGTTTGTAAGAAAGCTAGAGGCGGCCAAACCAAAACATGACAGAAATGCATGAAGTCACTGACAAGTGAACTGAATAATGTTGGTAGATGCAGGCTACTTGATCCGCGAGACGAAAGTCACCGATGGTTAGAGACGTTGAATGACATGGCAATGGCGCAAATGCGTTCACTCTTTGTGTTCTCCGAAATTCCAATCCTAAGAATTCCTCATCAAATCTTTGTTTCTCTTTCTAAAGCTATCTCATTAAAGTATACTTCTTGAATAGTATTTTCAAGCCTTAATCTTCTTATTACCGCTAATACTTCTACTATCTCTACTACTATGGTATTTGAACTGACAACTGCGTCTCTGTACTAAAACGGTATGGCAACCTGAACTTATGTACTTACGTACGAAGTTCTACGTTGTAACTGACTGATTTAATCGAAGTTTGTTTAATAACGAGCTGTTTGCTGCCTTCAAATTCAAAACCACGTCATTTGTTACTCTTAAGCCTTTTTCAATTTCTAATAAGTGTTCTCTTGTTTTAGACAGATGGCTGCGTGTGTCAACTACTTCTTAATCTATCAGACAGGGCTGAAATTTGAAAAGCTTATTGTTTGTTATCGCTTAGGGTTATTTGATATTTTTTACTTCAATTTAGTAGCTTCTTGCAAAGTATCATCTTTGGTCTCTTCGGCTTGATTCTTATTCGATATAATCTGACCGTTCTTGCGGAATACTGCTGGTAATTGATTTATAACTGTCAATCTATCAGGCAGATAGGATTTTGACTTATATTTTACGAAAAATGGTTTCGTAGTGACAAAGCTGGTTTTCGTAAGGTTAAGCACTGATAAACCGCTTTTGTCACGTGTCAGGCTCACAAAAAACCGTTTAAATGTGATAGCACGGAGCACTTTTTCGAATTACTTTAGGGACACTACTAGTAAAACCATGGTAGTTAAACACGCTCAGCAGCCATCAGGCGAAGTGTATCTAAAAGAAATCGATAAAGCAAGATTTCGAACTTGTTGTCATTAATAATAACACCCACTATACGGAGGTGAGATGGCTAAGTCGCTCAAAATTAAAAAATTAAAGTACCTAGAGGCGCTTGTTGAAAAGGTGATAAAACTTCAAAACGACAGGGAGCATGATGCATTCCATTCTAAATTATCTGTTTTGTGAAAGATCTACAATAAGTGCATTCGTTTCCAAAATTTAGGTCTATCTGGAGGATCGGTTGCAAGATAA